CGACTTTATTCTCGTAATATTACGACTTTATTCTTGTAATTTTACTACTTTATTCTCGCAATATTATGACTTTATTCTCATAATTTCCAAAAAAAAATTTCTCTTAGTATAGCCCTAATACTCTGTTATACTACTGTTACTCTGTTGTACTCTGAAGTGACCCACATAGAGTCACATAAAAGGCACATAAACTGTGATATTGCTGTTCACATTGCAAAGAATCAGACCTGAATCTGATTTGGACCGCATATGAAAGTGGTCCAAAAAAATGAAAATGAAAGTTATTTATTTCTCACCTGTAACTTCTTCTTTTCACCCGTCTTCACACAGCAAGGATGTACAGACATCTGTAATTGCATCTGTTTAAACAAAAAAACAAAACAACAACACTGTCTTATTGTCTTATTTTCCCTTATAAAGTTTTAGTTTATCACTTGGAAGATCTGTCATTGGTTGTCATTACTTACCTGGGTTAGGGTTCCTGCCTGCTGCTGTTCAAACTGTTTATGACCTCCTGTCTTGTGTTACTAAAGTCAGAAGATAGTATACTGAACAATAAGAGGTTGATTATAGACACACAAAAATAAACATTATATACTGTTAACATTTTCTCTTTGTCTGCATTTTTAATTTACATTGGTTCAATCTCTCTTGCTTTCTCTCATTAATCAACTCAGCTTTATGAGGCCTGCAGCTCGATTGTTGCGTCTACTGTAATCAGCAGCAGATACTTCTGTATCTCTGGGCAGGGTGAATGGGCTGTGGCTGTGCACCAAACTCCCTTTCAGAAATGTCCCATTTTAACAAATGTCCATAAAAAACACGTAACTCTAGAAACACGACATATGTCCACAGTCTATCAGTTCACCATTAATATAATCCATAGGGTGGGTAAGTAGAGAGACTAATAACGTTATTGGTTAATGTCAGCTAATTCACCCAGACAATAATTCAACTACAACTGTGAGGTAACAATGGCCATAACCCGACCACAGAGAGTGAATTACACTCTAATCACCATAATCTGTATGGTTATAGATAGATAGATACTTTATTTATCCCGAGGGAAATTCAAGTATCCAGTAGCATACAAAATACAAAACATTACATTAAACATACATTAAACACACATTAAAAACCCTAACCCTAAAAATAAAATTAAAAATAAAAATAATATATATATATAGTGTTAAACAAACTTCCTGCAGTTACGGTGTTCATTGTTTGGGTTCATTATTGTTATTGATCAATAGAATATGAAATATACAGAACATACAGTCAGTTTACTCCCTCAGACCAACGACAGAGATACAGTGCACACACTGAATCAATAAATTCCATTGAAATGGAAAGTGAAATTTAAAAAAAGTTGGTCACAAAAAAAGATCTTGCACGTGTCACAATCTCAGGAAGTCATTTAGTGACTGGTTGAAGTGAAATGCATGCTGGGATATTTATCTGAAGTCTAGTCTCATTGGATTGTGAACAAAGTGACCGTTAATCTTATCTAATCTGACCCGGATTGGATGTCTGAATGAAAGATGAAAACTCTTTGTTCCAGACTCCTCAGATTAAAATGAACATATTTACACAATAAACACTGTAAATTATTAAAACTTTTTTATTTTAATCCTGTTGTTTGTTTCTAACTGAGCCTCAGATTCAACAAGTGTTCTTACCTGCTGCTGCAGCGAGCACTCTGTACATCATCAGTCTCTGCTTTCTCCAGTTTCTCCCATGGTCGACTTCTCTGAAATCACATGACCACACACACACACACACACACACACACACACACTGGAAGGACAAAGAGTTCCCTCCAGTGGCCACAACTGAGAACTGCGTCCAACTGGTTTTGTGTGAAATGTTCATTCTGACATATTGTAGTTTGGGTCTTCACATAAATATTTATCATTCTGATGTTAATCTGCATTTAAAACACAATAAATTGTCCAACCTTCTAAAGTACAATCACACAACCAACAAACGTCTACTTATTTATTATTTACAACTGGAAGAAAGAATATTCCAGATGTTTTCCTTTATAAATGTACATTGTTATGGTTGTCCTTTCTAAATGTTCGGCCTTTGCTTCCGTGTGGTATCTGATGGTCTATACATTAATCTTACATTTTATTATAAGATTCAA